CTCCAGTCTGGGTGAGAGTGAGACTCCAACTCAAAAAAAAAAACACACTTTTTTTTTTGAGGCAGGGTCTCATTCTGTTGCCCAGACTAGAGTGCAGCTCACTGCAGCCTCAGCCTCCTGGACTGAGGCAATCCTTCCACCTCAGCCTCCTGAGTAGCTGGGACTACAGACACATGCCACCATGCCCAGCTAGTTTTTTCTTTTTTTTTTTTTTTGTAGAGATGAGGTCTCGCTACATGGCCTAGGCTGGTCTTGAACTCCTGGGCTCAAGCAATCCTCCCTCCTCGGCCTCCCAAAGTACTGGGATTATAGGCTTGAGCCACTGCACCCAGCCTTAAACATTTTTTAGTATGCTAATTTTCAAATATATACATATATAATATTTTCATAAATGGAGTACAATGAATCCCATGTACCCATTACCCAGCTTCAACAATAACAGCATTCTGCCAGTCTTGTTTTATCTCTCCCCATGAGTTCTCTTATTTCTTGGATTATTTTAAAGCAATCCCAGACATCATACTAATTTACCTGTAAATACTTGAGAATTAATCCCCAACTGACTGTTTGATAGTATACTTTCATTCCTTTTTGATTAAAAGAGAGAATGGCTGCTGTTCCAGATCTGTGCATGAGGGTCAGACATGTCCACAGTATGAACAGACCATCAGTTGATGGACCCAAAGGTGTTTCTCCTGAGTTTGCTGTTACTTTATAGTGTATATGAGCATTTAGAAAGCCTCAATCCTTTCTCTCCACACTTTTCCTTAGGACCACTTCATTTCACCCTCTGCGTTTGGAGAAATCCTGTACAATAACTTCCTCTTTGATATCCCAAAGATCTTGGACCTCTGTGTACTCTTTGGAAAAGGCAACTCACCGCTGCTCCAGAAGATGATAGGTGTGTAGGATGCAGGTCTGGACCCCCCCATGCTGAACTAGAGATTGCAAAGGCCTGTGCTTAGTGCAGGGGAATTCAGGGCAGTAGGGCCGAGGAGTGCTGGGAAATTACTTAACAGATAACATGAGTGTTAACTCCAAGAGGTAAGTTGGCGGCAATGGGGAAGTGGAGACAAAAGTATGAGCTGTTCCTCAAGGATCTTGGTGTCTTGGGGAAGTTTCCTCTGGTGATAAGGGTAAGAACAGCAGTGATAACTCATCTATCTGTATTTGGGTGTGCTCCAGGGCCCCTGGCCCTCTGCCGAGCACTTCATGTGTGTTATGTCAGTTGAATCCTCACAGCAGCCCTATGAGATAAGTGCTATTGTCATCCCCATTTACAGATAAGGAAACTGAGATTAAAACGCAAGGGACTTGCCTAAGAGGACACGACTAATAAGGGGCCCAGCTGAGACGAACTTTCAAGCTCTTGTTCTTTGCTGCTCTAGTTCTTTGCCTCTTTGCTTCAGGGATGATGGGGCTGCCTCAAAATGTCATTGTATTGTTGCTGAGAGAAGATGGGGACAGAGTTCAGAGACAACCTCTTTTGGGTTGTGAAAGGAATAGGCATCAGCAGGCAGTGGGCTGGAAGGTTTGTTCAGAAACAGAAGCTTTGTTGGAATGCTACAGAGGGAGCACCCCAATGGATTCCTCTGGGAAGCGTGTGGCATTAGGCCCGGCACACAGAGGTGTTCACTCTAGATACCCCTGCCAGCCCTCCTTACTTTGAGATTGTAGGACATGGTCTTCTAAATACTTAGTTACAAAGCTAGTTATTCCTTATCATGATCTCCCTCCTTCCCCCCTTCCTTTTTTTTTCTAATGATAAAAATAATGTGTTAATTTAGAAAAGTTTAGAAGGATATAAAGTAAAAAGAAGCAGGAACGCAACTACCAAGTTCCTACCTGAAGCATAATTTGTTTATTTTTTTATTTCTGGTCTTTTTCCGTGTGTATTTTTTAACCATATTCAATCATGGTATATATGAAATTTTGTATCTAGCCTTTTCATTGGAACAACCTCTAGTTTCTCATTGAAATCTAATTATTACCTAATCATCAGTTAATCTGTTTTTATGTTTCCAGGGAAAGCTCCTTTATAATATTATTACAGACTGAGAGTATGGAGTGAGTTAGCAACAGAAGGCACCATTAGTTGGAAAAACAATTGTTAGGCCATTTTGGTTAGAGTGGAGCATCCTAGGAGGGCAGCAGCAGGAGACGGGGAGGGGGAAACTGGCGCCAGATTGGGAAGGGCTTCATGCCAGGCTTTAGCACTTGGGGAGTGGTATTGCTTGGTGGCTAAGAAGGCAGGTTTTGGGGTTGAATTGCCCAGTTCACATCTCAGCTCTATTCCTGGATATGTCACCTTGACCAAGTCAGTTAACCACTCTATGCCTCAGTTTTCTCATCTGCAGAATGGGAGGACTATCTCATAGCACGGTTGTAGGGATTAAATATGAGTTAGTGTGAGTAGAGTGTTCAGCCCAGTGCCTGGTATGTTACAAGCACTTGGTAAGCGTGAGCTTTTATTGTGATGAAGCCATGGAGCCCCTAGGAGCTTGGAGTAGAGTGAGGAGCCGTCTGCTAACAAGGTTAATCTGGCAGCATGCCTGTAGGGAGGGTAAAGACAGGAGGCCCTGTAGGAGGTGGGTACATCAGTGTGGGTTTGAAGGTGAAAGCCTGGCTGGGCTGCTGGGGTGAAAAAGGACATCCAGGAAGCAGACTGAAGCAGGGCTTGGTGAGGTCAGCTGGAAAGAGAAGTCTTAACATTTCTGGAGAAAACTAATATTGATTGCAGAAAAAGGCCTTTGGGAGGTGGAGAAGGGGCCCATGAGTAGAGGCAAGCTCAGCATTGGCTCTTTTGGGTGTGAGATAGCTGCAGGGGGAGATTCAGGTGGAGAGGATGTAGCGTCGGGGGAGCAAGAAAGCTCTGCCTGCTGCCCAGGTTTCTCATCTTTTGGGTCAGTGACTCCTTTGAGAATCAGAAGAATGCTTCTCTCCAGAAAAATGTATACCCCTCATAGATTTTGAGGTGTTTTCAGAGTTCTCAGAGCCGCAGATTGAGAACCATTATAAACTGGCTTATTAAAGAGAGCACCTTCTATGGCTCTTAGAAGGTGGTTAACACAAAAGATGTCAGGACCAGGCAACAAAAGCCCCTTCACTCTGTGTGTGTGCATGTGTGTGTTTGTGAGGGGAGGGGGGAATGGTACAGTGAAGGGGCCTGCAGTCAGTCAGTCAGTCTCTTTCTTTCTCTCTTTCTCTCTCACACACACACACAGTCGTGCACTCTCTCATACAAGCACGCATGCATGTGTACACACGCATTTCACAGCTCTCTTTCTAGCCTTGGAACAGAAGACACTACAAGGGGAACCCTTTAATTTCTATACCACAGAAAATTTTGGGCAAAGTGATCACTTATGAGAGGATTGGCAAGGGAGAGAAGGTGGGAGAAAGAGAACTGGTTGACTGTCTGTGGGCAGAAGCCCAGTCCTTACCCTGCCCTTTTTTTTAACTTTCAAGGTTGGTATTGTGCATCAGCAAGTATAATTTAGAAAGCAGGGCCTTTCAGTTAGACTCTCTTGGAGCTGCTTTGCAAACCAGAAATAAATTGGGCCTTGGCCTAATGGTGGACTGCAGTGATCTGTTTGGCAATATCTCCTGTTCACCCCGGGTTTCTGAACTGCTTTCATCTGAGAAGGGACATTTCAAAGGATGCCATTGCTGTTCTTACCTTTTTGTTATGTCTTTAAGAGATCAAAAGTTAGAAGATCTTCACTGTCATTGGAATCAGATAAAGGAAAGGAAAGGGACTCAGAAGACTCCAAGGATAGATTGTGAAATCTGATCTATATTGATGCTTGTAAAACCTAGCTGTTATTCAGGCTTTAGTGCTGGAAGGATCGTGAAGGAGTGCCTTCCCAGTGCCAGGTGGTTGGGATGCCATTGGGAACACAGAATGGCCCTGGGAGTTGTAGGAGGAGACCTCTCCTCATGCCTGGGTCAGAAGGCACTGCCTGGAGGGGTGACACCTGCCTTGTGGTAGAGTTAGCTCTGGGAGGGCACCCTACGCAGAGGGAGGAGATAGGATTTGTGTCTCAGGTTGGAGATGGTTCAAGAAAGGAATATAGTGTGGGAAATGGAGAGAAAGTAGCCCAGGATGCCAGCAGAGTCCAGATCTCATAGGGTCTGTTGTGCCATGATCAGGAATTTGGACTTGACCTTGAGAGTGGGATAGGAGGGTTTTATGAGGAAGAGCAGAGATTGGTAGGGAGATAGCTCAGTCATTCCTTGTTTGTCAGGAGTAGGAAGTAGGTGCAGATGGTCCGGACGCACCTTCACAGGTTGTGGGATTAGTACCCATCTGGAGGTGGGAGGCACTGAACAAGCCTGTGCTAGCCAAGCTCAGCCTTCTGGAATCCAGGAACAAAGTGGCATCAAGGAAAGTGATTACAGAAAGTCCAACCACCTAATGACTTGCTTACTCACCCAGCCCCATCTGGCTTTTGATCTCATTCATTTTTAAAATCCTCCGGGATCCAGCAAGGACTGCAGGGTCATCAGAAAGGAAACCAGGGACATGCCTGCCCAAAGGCAGAGAACAGGTAGAATTCGGAACATCCTGACAGTCAGCTAGCCTTAGATGCTAGGATTATAGTGAGATGAAGAACCCTGGCCAAGGGCATTGGCATTTCAGAGCATCATATACCCCAGCTAGCAGTGATCCTCCTTCCTTCCCTCCCCTCCCTCACTCCCTCACCATTTGGGCAGCCGGAACACTTGGTTTCTTTTTCAGTTACCATATGCTCTAACTTACACACTCATAGCAGCAGCACTTGGAGAATAGTATACACTCGGAGACAAGCTTCATCTAATAGGAATGACTGCAAATATGAGGTAAATCTACCTCCAGATCCCTCTCAGGCTTCTTACCTCAGACTAGGATGGATTAGTATGCCTAGCATTTCCGAAAGTGAAGGATACAAGAATTTCCAAATAAATTTTTCCCTGGTTCATGTCCCGCCTGGGCAGTGAGACCTCATCTCTACAATAAATCAAAAAATCAGCTGGGCGTGGTAGTGCATGCCTGTAATTCCGGCTACTTGGAAGGCTGAGGCGGAAGGATTGCCGGAGCCCAGCAGGTCGAGGCTGCGGTGGCCAGGAGCGGCCACTGCACTCCAGTCTGGGTGACAGAGTAAGACTCCAACTCAAAAAAAAAAAAAAAAAAATTTTTCCCTGGAGTTCCTCACATTTTTGGAGGTGTGGCCTGGCAAGAATCCTGGATTGTTGTATCCAGGTTTCTTGAGCAAAGAGATCATAGCTCCTAATTTTCCTGGATGACTAACTCCCACTTCCAAAGCTGAAGCTGTCCTAGGAGGCACGGTGCCCAAGTGTATTACTCCCTGGCCACAGCAGGGTGAACCGGTTTGACCAGGGCAGGTGTTTTACATAATTCACTAGGCAGAGGTGCTTAAAAGGTTAAATTGTACTGAGCAAAGTCCCTCCCCTACCCTGGGGAAGTTTCTAGGCTGGGCCAAAACTCATTGCCAGCAAGGCCTGGGGCTAGGATAGGTTTAGGAAAAGGGAGGAAGGTCACAGAACATGGTCATGACTATTTGTAATGTTTCCTCTTTGCTGTCCTCCACCTTTTCCCAATTCCAACCTATCTCTTCTCTTTTTAGGAAACATCTTTACCCAGCAGCCAAATTACTATAATGACCTGGATGAAACCTTGCCCACCATCCTTCAGGTACCAGCTCTTTTGCCCTGCCCAGGGGAGGGTGAACTTGGGAAGCAGACCCCTCTCCTTCAACTTAATGGTATTCCTTGACTTTCTTGAAGAGTAGAGCAGGAGGTGGGTGTTTATTCTCATCTTTTTCTCTAACCCATCTCCCAGACAGTCTCTGTGTCCTACCCCTGACCACATCCCTTCAAATTTGCCTTTTTCCCATCATGAATAGGACTAAAATCTAAGGACTGCCTGGCACTCATACAAAAAGAGTTTGGCCTGTATTTTGTGTTGCTTGCCAACAACCATATGCCTCCAAGGATATCCCTCTGAGAGACCTATGTTTCTCAAATAAGAGCTTTAAAGTTTTACAAAACCATTCCAAAATAATGTTCATTGTATAAAATTTGGAAAATATTAAATAACAGAAAGGAGTGTGACTCTACCCTCTATAATCTCACCACCCCACTCTTCACAGAAACTTTTGGAGTAGTTGTATGCTAGTCTCTTTAAAGACAGTGTTGCCAGTTCAGTACTTAACATGATTTTATCATGGGCTCTATTTTTTCCTCACTATTGATTTTTCTTTTATTTTAATACAGTTTCCATAATTAACCATCTATAGAAAATTTAAAAGCTATTATTTATTGCTAAAGGTATTTCTTAAATGTTCATTATTAGATACTTGCCCAGTCTATCCAGTCAAATAATATCTATAGGAGTGTGGGAACTTTACATACGTGTTGACTTTTTTTTTTTTTTTTTGAGTCAATCTACTTTGTTGCCCAGGCAGGAGTGCAGTGGCATGCTCACAGCTACCACAGCCTTGACCTGCTGGGATCAGGTAATCCTTCCACCTTGGCTTTCCAAGTAACTGGAATTGCAGACGTGCACCATCACACCCAGCTAATTTTTTAATTTTATTGTAGAGATGAGGTCTCACTATGTTGCCCAGGCTGGTCTTGAACCTCTAGGCTCAGGCAATCCTCCCACCCCCACCTTCCAAATTGGTGGGATTGTAGGTGTCTGCCACCACACCTGGCCCTGTGTTGTCTTTTTAATATTCTCCACAATCCCGTAAGAATGATGCTCCCATCACCCCCATCTTAACGGTTTTTTCTCTGACCCTGCTTTCTGAGAAGATCACTATCTCAACCAGTATCCTGGGAACATGGGTAGGTATTCCGAAGATTCCAAGGCAGTTTTCAAATCACCCAGCCCTGGCTGTGAGCAGGGGTTCTAGCCCTTGTTGAACAGGGTGTGGGAGAGTCCCTTCTTGCCTTTCACAGGTCTTCAGCAATATCCTCCAACACTGTGGCTTGCAAGGGGATGGGGCCAGCTCCACACCCCAGAAGCTTGAGGAGAGGTGCCGGCTGACTCCCAGCGACATGCCTCTCCTGGTGAGGTTGCCCTTCAGCCCAGCCTTTTTCCTTCTGAGTCCCTCTGGCCAGAGCCTGGTGGCCCCAAGACTGGGAAAATTGCCCTGATAGAGGACCCAGCAGCTTCTTCCCCTGCTCAGAGTCCCTTTACCCAACTCAGTGAGCAGCTATTTATTCCCATCACTCAGGTTTAGAGCATGTTCAGCAGGCTTGCATTTCTCTCTGGGAGCTTCACTTACAGAGTAGTGGAAAAAACTCGAATTCTGTGGACAGGGGTCTAGTCTTCACTTATGTCAGATCAACAGACCCATTCATATGTTATTCATTAAGCCAGTCATTCATTCAGTAAATTTATGCTGAGGAGCCCCCAGCATGTGCCAGGCCCTGCACCAAGCCCAGGGGAAAGCAGTAAGCACAAGCAGACATGCTGCCTGCTCTCATGGAACTTGGAGGCTAACAGGGATGACAGATAGAAGGCAAAACACTCAAGGAGCCTGGATGTGTTTCTAGCACTGCACTAAGCTCTGAAGCTACAGCAGGAACGAGGCATCTGGAACCTGTGATCTCATTTCAGAAGGACAAATGTAGGAGCAAGTCATTTTATCCCTCTGAACCTCCATTTCCTTATTTGTAAAATGGGCGTCCTAATAGCTACCCAGTCTACTTTTCAGAGTTGTCAGGAGAACCAGGAGTGTCTGAAAAGGCACCCCATGTTTTGCATATCTTCTTTAAAATGTAAGGAAAGTGGTGGTTTGATACTCTTGTCCTCGCTGGAATGTTCCTTCTCTGTATCTTGTCTTCAGATTCAAGGGTTGGTTTTTCTTTGGCTTAGAAGAGAGAATCGTATTAACTTAGAACTAGAAGTCACCCTAGACATCACTGGGTAAAAGGCTGATAGAGCTACGGCAGCAAGACCTGAGGCTTAGCAAGGCTAGGTGACTGCCCCAGATTGTGCTCCTAGAGATGGACCAGCCAGGCTTTGCCCAGGCCTTCCAGTGTCCTCTTTCTCCCATGCAACATCCTGCCTGTTGGGGACCCTGAGTCTGTTAACTTGTCTCAGACCGTCTTCAGATCTGTGTGTGGAGGCAGAAGAGAGTAATACAGTATTTTCTTTTGGCAACAGGAGCTAAAGGACATTGTTCTCTACCTTTGTGACACCTGCACTACACTTTGGGCCTTTCTGGATATCTTTCCTTCAGCTTGCCAAACCTTCCAGAAGCATGACTTTTGTTACAGGTATGATGATAGTGGTGACTGTTAAAGTAAAAGTTCTAGTTCACATACTCATTTAACAAACATTTACTAGGTTCTCAGAATGCGCCAGTCCCTCTTCTAGCCTGGGAATGTGGCAGGGAAGACAGATAATGCTCCTGTTCATGGGGAGCCTGCATTTTAGAAGCACTCCCATTTTTGGCTAAGATCAGGACAGGGGAGGGGAAAAAAATAACACAACCAAGAATAGGATAATTTTGATTCTTCTTTGTTTTGTTTCAAAGCCTCTATTGTGGGCAGGCACAGGGAGTGATAGTAAGAAGCAGTTTGAGGACTTCAGCTTCTAGCCCAGGGGAGAACACATACAAAGAAACAACAGGAGTGCTCCAACATGTGGCCAGCAGCTGACCCTCAAAAGAGGTCTTGAAGAATGAACAGGAATCTTCCAGACAAAGAAAGGTTGCAGTGTTGGGGAGGACATTCTAGGCAGGCAGAGTGAAGCATGCAGTGGCCCAGAGTGTTCTGAGGAGAGCCAGGGAGTGGAGTGAGTGCAATATGAGGCTAGGGTGGGGACACCAGGACAGCAGGGAAACGAGCTGGTAACAAGAGCCAAATTTGCGTAAGTAGGTAGAAGTCAGATTGTGAGAAGCCTTGAATGTACTGGCAGGGCCTTTATTCTATAGGCAGTGGGGAGCCACTGGAGACTTTATCCGAAGAAGTCACAGAAAGATCCTGCTGGGATGGAGACAGACATGGAGGAGAATATGGGACAGAGAGGGCCCACTTGACCCTCTGAGCACCATGATCATCTATTTCTTGTTCAGTAAGAAAGGGGTACACGGACCTGGGTCTTCCCAGGCCAGGGTGAAGGAGCTGGCGACCTGCATATTGCTTGGCAAACGTGGGTGCCAGCCTGTGCCCAGTGGCCTCTGGTTGTCACCCTTGCCAGGTGCCTCTCCCTACCATTCATAGTCCGCTTCTGGGAGCTGCCCAACTCTGTCCACCCAGCTGCTTGTCCATTCTGTCATTTACTCTCCTATTCAACAAAACATTTATCTAGTGCTTACATGTGCCAGAGATGGCAGCTGGTGCTGTGGCCCTTCCTTGATCGCCTCAGCTTGTGAAAATCAGACATTAGGATTCATCAGCCTCCCAGAGTATATTAGAATAAAGTGCTAATCAGCTAATTAGCATTTTCCCCAGAGGAGAGCGGTCAGGATGGGACTATATGTAGCTGTCCACTTTTTAAAAAGGTATCTTTTCTCATGATAAAAGTGTCATATGCTTGTAGGAAATTTGGGAAATACAGAAGAATAGGAAATTAAAATCACCATGAGATTGGGTGTAGTGGCTTACGCCTGTAATCCCAACACTTTGGAAGGCCAAGGTAGGAGGATCACTTGAGACCAAGAGTTTGAGACCACCCTGGGCAAAATAGCAAGATCTCGTCTCTATAAAAGAAATTTAAAAATGGCTGAGTGTGATAGCATGTGCCTGTAGTCCTAGGTACTCAGGAGGCTAAGGTGGGAGGACCACTTGAGCCCAGGAGTTCACGATTACAGTGAGCTATGGAAGCCACTTTACTCCAGCCTGGGTGGCAAAGTGAGACCCTGTCTCTAAAATTAATTAATTAAAATCACCATTAGAGATCATATTATTCTTAGAATTTTTATACCCTATTTATTTTCACTCATCTTAGACATTTTCCCATTTTGTTAACGTGTCTCCCCAAATGTGGCACAGCCTGGTTTTGAAAGGGTCTTTAGAGATGTAGGGATTAAGTTTTAGAAGAGCTCGCTTTCCTGCAGGGGACCGCAGAGGCAGAGAAGAGGCTGCACCTAATCTCAGGGTGAGGAAAAAGAGAAAGAAGCACTTTTAACTAAAAGTGACACTGCCTTTGACCCACAAACAGCCTGGGACTGGCCCAGCCTGTTCAAACTGTGCTGGAGGCCAGGAACACCCTGCTGAGCAAATGCAGCCACCTCAGTTCTCAAGAACTCTCTGAAGGGAGCTATAGTTGGCCATGCTCTGTTGCTTATTCCTCTCATAATAACTTTTTTCCTTCTTCCTCTCACATCTACTCAAGTATATCTGAGTATATCTCTTTCTGTCCTTTATTATTATTTTTATTTTTAGAGATAGGGTCTCACTCTGTCACTCAGACTGGAGTATAGTAGTACAATCATAATTCACTGTAATCTTGAACTCCTGGGCTCCGGTGATCCTTTGCCTCAACCTCCAGAATAGCTAGGACTACAGGCACATGCCACCATGCCTGACTAATTTTTTTTTAATTTTTGTAGAGTCGAGGGATCTTGCTGTGTTGCCCAGGCTTGTCTTGAACTTCTGATCTCAAGCAATCCTCCCACCTTGGCACTTCAAAGCACTGGAGTTACAGGCATGAACCACTGTACCTAGCCATGCCCTTTAATTTTATGACTGAATAATACATTCTCATGATTCAAAACTCAGTAAGATATACCCTGAAAAGTCTTGCCTTCCCCTCCCCCCCTTTTGTTTCTCACACATAGCCATTGTCATTAGTTTTTTTGTGGAATTTTCCAGAGAGATGCTTATGTGTATGAGCAAATATGCATATTATGTATCTCCTCCCTTTTAAAAAAAAAAAAAATCTAATGTTGGCATGTTATGAGTATTATATGTACTGTTTATATTTTACTTTCTTTTTCTTTTTTTTTTTTGAGTTGTATTCTCACTCTGTTGCCTCGGCCTGCTGGACTCATGTGATCCTTCTGCCTCAGCCTTCCAAGTAGCTGGAACTACAGGCACATGCCACCACGCCAAGCTAACTTTTTGATTTATTGTAGAGATGAGGTCTTGCCAAAAGTTGCCCAGACTGGTCTCCAACCTGTGGGCTCAGGCAGTCCTCGCACCTCAGCCACCCAAAGTGCTGGAATTATAGGCGTGAACCACCGCGCCCAGCCATATATTTTACTTTTTTACTTAACAGTGGTGCTATAACCATATATAAAGCCACTCCCTCTGTCTTTAGTATGACTGAGTAGAATTCCAGTGTATTGGATGCCACACCCCATCCATGATCCTTTAGGTTTTTTTCAGTTGTATACTATTACAGAAAAATACTACAAAGGATAACTTTGCACACATATAATTTTCTACCTTTACAAGTACATCTGAGGAATAATTCCTAGAAGTAAAATTGCAAGGACAGATGGTATGCACATTTTTAATTCTCATAGATCTTGCCAAATCACCCTTCATAGGGGTTTGTTCCAATTTACCCTCCCACTAGCAATGTTTCCTGGCAACAGCTGAAACTGTTTGGGCCAAACTGTCCTCTCTGTCCTCTTCTGGTGTTATGCCGTGGGCCTAGCAGGGCCTGCCTCTTTTGGCCTAGTTACCCTCTGCTATGTATGGCACTACAGTAATACAGACTTGCCAGAAACCAGCCAATTAACAGACAAGCCCAGTACCATCCTAGGCACTTAAGCTGTCTGGCTTTGAGTTAGTGTTAGCTTAAGATGTTTGGAGGAAGAATTACACCACAACAAAGAGGCAGCTTCGTTTTCAGTTATCAGGGCAATATATTCCAAGTGCAAGTGCATCTAGTTCTGGGAAGGAGGAATCCCCATGGGTGAGCACAGTGAGAAAGTTCTTGGGGAGGAGGTGGGCCTGGAATGCTGCATGAAGGAGGAGGAAGAGGAGGAGAGCTATGGCTGGTGTTAGCCTGAGAGGAAGCCAGAGGACTATGGGAGCGTTGATTTCTGGCCAGACAGTGATCAGCTGTGTGGCTGGGGTGGAGAGTTTGAATTTGAGTTGGGAAGTGGGGGTGTGAGGTTGCCGAGGTGAGAAGCAAGATTAGCCATGCCGTTCCAGGTAGAGATATATCAGGAAGATTATGGTTTGCTGTCGTAAGAGGTAGGGAGCTGCTAACAGTCATCTTCCTTCCTTCCTTCCTTCCTTCCTTCCTTCCTCCCTCTCTCTGTCTCTCTCTCTTTCTCTCTCTCTCTCTCTTCTTTGTCTCAGTGTCACCCAGGACAGAACTCCTGGGCTCAAACTACAAGGTTCAAACAGTCTACCCCTTCTAAAGTACTGTTTTCTTTTTTTTTTTTTTTTTTT